TTCATGTCGTCTCTCTATATAATTCTGTGTACTTGTAAAATATCCCATCCCTCAAACAGCTCGACAACTAGTGTTATAATCGCTCTATTATTCGCCATCTGTTTGCAGTATATGGAAATATTAAGTGCAATTCTTAGTTTTAGATATTTTTGATGGAATTATGCGATTTCCGTACATTTCAATTATTTCTGAAGAATGTTTATATATATTCAAGACCCAAATCAACCCCCGAAAATGGCGGACATGTCCCATTAACTCAATTTCATTCACTTATTTTAATTGATCAATTATCAGTTATAGCGGTTGACTTAATGATGTGAGAACGTTAGTAAGGTTCAAGAAATGACCATAGTTATACACGGGACGTTTTGCTTGAATTGTAATGTAGTTGTAGTGAATTATTCTAAAAACATTATCCATTACAACCACGCTCGACGACAACAGCTACGACATTACACACTCATGACAAAAGTTAAATTTCTAATTTGGTATCGATATTAGTTGCCTTCATCCCTTGAATGAATTATTTACTTTTTACTATTGATCTTCATAATCTTTCGTATTGACTTATTTGAATTTAAAACTAATTGCAAACATTATAGAAGAATTTTTAATATTGTTGTATTAAATTATTAATAATATAAACGATTGCTGTGTTTTTCCAATGACAAGAATTCTGAATGTATATTTTTAGGGAAAGTTAATAAAGTTTCATCCCACTTCTGGCTGAAATGTGGCTTTGTGGTGGGAGTCACTATTAACTGGCTGTAACTATGGGACTGATGACGGAGGTCTCAATGTTTTTTTCGGTCCCATTCAAAAGCTATGAGTTTTGTTAGTGCTTGCGAGAATGTATGTTTGTTTGTGTATTGGTAGGTGGGGTGATATGAATGAAGAACCACCATTATACATCTTCAATGTAAGAATCATGATAATAAAGTGGTTTAAATGTGGTAAATTGTTCATAGTATAAATCCTTGAAATTCGAGAAATAAAATGAAACTAGTAGCCGGCTGATATTTAGGTTAATCTTGACGTATTGATCACCACAACAAGCCTTTTATTGGATTATCATAGATTACTAGGGTAGTAACAACATAAACTAAACATGTTCCATAATCCTTCAGACATGAGAGAGAAATAAAACCGAAGCATCCCTAAAGCTTTGCAAATAACTGTCCAATCTTGTCATGGCAAAAAAATTAACGAACTGTATGCGTTTATGAAACGAAGACATCTTGACGATGCAGATCGCTACGTTATCATCTGAATAATACAAACTGTGGCTTGAGAGTATGGTATAAGAGAAGGTAAATGTATCGTGAGGAGAACTGGGAGAAGATTCTATAAGAGAAAGTTACTTCAAATGTTTACAAGGAAAAGTCCAAAAGCAATACCTAACATTGATATCTCAAGCAAAAAAATAACAAATTATGAAACCAAAACGAACGTGATTCCATGACTATTTATGTGAATATTAGATAATTGAAGAAATCATAAATGTTAAGTTCGTCCATTTAACAGAATTAGCGAAGCGTTAACTATACGTATATCATGAGATTACATGGGCAACAACTCGTGTATCAAGGGAGATTACTCCAGTAAATAAGATTTATGATCGTCTAGACCTTTAATTTCATTTACAAGAACCGTATTTTTACTTTCCACTAATGTATGTCAATAACAATAGATGATATCCAATCATATAGTCATACATTTATTTAAAGGCTCCCAACTCGACTCATTGGGGGTATTATCATAGGTCTTATTTTCAGTGGTTACTCATTTAACAGTGGAAAGGTTTAGCATTTTGAAAACAAAAGGCTACTATTTTTTTTTCGCATTCGATCCGAGGTGATTCTTTTAAAATATTGTGTATAAAGTTTTTACGTAAGTATGAAACTAGATCCCTACAAGTATGTTGTAGATTGAATTATTTATTCACGTCTATGGAACGAGCAAATACTGATAAAATATAATAACATGTATTTATGCTTATTTAGTTCATTTCACATAAACTCATTTCTCTGTATAGCTAATGACCACAGTAAGGACTATTTCATTTCAGTGGAATCTCAAGAAATAACAGCAACATGAAGACAGAATATTTTCTCTCTCACCATCTGTTTAATGAAATGAACTTAATAGATGTTATTTTGAACGCACCTGAAGTACACCTTCATGGCTCAGAAAATGGTAATTCAATTAGTAATAATAATAATTCTTCAATTTCACTGTGGAATGTCTACACCAATCTTTCCATTCACTTTATGCGAAATTTCATTCGTTACGATCTGGCACTTCCGTTTAATTTTACTTGGTTTATCAAGTTGTTTATTAAAGGTCCCCCCTATTAAGTATACTAACAGATAGTTTGTAAGATGAGAGATACTAACAGATAGTTTGTAAGATGAGAGATACTAACTCTAAAATGACTAAAACTTACAGATAGTTTGTAACATGACTGAAAGCTATTGTTTAGATCACAGAGAGCTTGGTCAATCATTTAGACAAACAGTAGGGTAATTAAATCTTTCTAAAAGATTTTTGTACATACAACTGTTGGTAAAGGTTATTCTTTGGAAAATACAGTGTTTCATAAAGCATATTAAAAGAGGGCAACAACTCAAAAACAGTTTATTGAACTATTTTCAACTTCCAACATGTCTAAAATATTTGGAACAAACCAAAATAGCAACATGGTATCTCTCATCTTACAAACTGTCTGTTTGTAAGATGAGAGATACTAACAGATATTTTGTAAGATGAGAGATACTAACAGATAGTTTGTAAGATGAGAGATACTAACAGATAGTTTGTAAGATGAGAGATACTAACAGATAGTTTGTAAGATGAGAGATACTAACAGATAGTTTGTAAGATGAGAGATACTAACATATAGTTTGTAGCATGAGGGATACTAACATATAGTTTGTAAGATGAGAGATACTAACAGATAGTTTGAAAGATGAGAGATACTAACAGATAGTTTGAAACATAACGAGATACTAACAGATAGTTTGTAAGATGAGAGATACTAAAAGATAGTTTGTAAGATGAGAGAAACTAACAGATAGTTTGTAAGATGAGAGATACTAACAGATAGTTTATAACATGAGAGATACTAGCAGACAGTTTGTAAGATGAGAGAAGCTAACATATAGTTTGTAACATGAGAGAAGCTAACAGATAGTTTGTAAGATGAGAGATACTAACAGATAGTTTGTAAGATGAGAGATACTAACAGATATTTTGTAAGATGAGAGATACTAACAGATAGTTTGTAACTTGAGAGAAACTTAATGATAGTTTGTAACATGAAATATACTAACATATAATTTGTAAGATGGGAGATACTAGCAGATATTTTGTAACAGATAGTTTGTTATTAACACTGATAGTTTGTAACATGAGAGTAGCTAATATATATTTTGTAACATTATTGAAACTTACTGAAACTTATCGATAGAAACATTGCCGAAATTACTGATAGTTTGTAAAAGACCGAAACTTAAAGATAATTGGTAAAATGACTGAAACTTACAGATAGTTTGTAACCAACACAGATAGTTTTTTTCCTGAGAGAAATCAATGAATAATTTCTAACTGACACAGATAGATGTGTCATGATGTAACATGAAAGAAACTAATATATAGTTTGTAAAATGAGGAAAACGTATAGATAGTTTGTGACATGACTGAAATTAGTGAGAGTTTGTAAGATAGTGGACCACAGCCATATACGCCCACCACGGCATCGGATGGTAAATATTCAAGATTTTGGTGCAAGGGCAATAAAATACAAGCAAATGTTGACGGACGGACCGACGGACGGACAGGGGTGCCGACAATATACGTCCACATAGAGAGATGTGGGCGTATAAAAATGACTAAAACTTACAGATAGTTTGTAACATGACTGAAAGCTATTGTTTAGATCACAGAGAGCTTGGTCAATCATTTAGACAAACAGTAGGGTAATTAAATCTTTCTAAAAGATTTTTGTACATACAACTGTTGGTAAAGGTTATTCTTTGGAAAATACAGTGTTTCATAAAGCATATTAAAAGAGGGCAACAACTCAAAAACAGTTTATTGAACTATTTTCAACTTCCAACATGTCTAAAATATTTGGAACAAACCAAAATAGCAACATATGACATTCTGTTTCATTGTTTAAGAATCAATCTTTTAGTAAATATAAATCACATTTATTTTACCCATTAACAAATAGAGGATAACTTAACAATAAATAGTACAAGTAAACTCATTACAGAAGCAAAAATCGAAAACATCACTCTCAAAATATCAAGGAAAACAACAATGTCTTTTAAAATATCTATCCTCACTTTGGCGTTTCTAGGCAAAAACCAAACAGGTCATCATACTTTAAGTTAGAAAACATGTAGAAACTCATTCATTTCAACAACTTTCAACCATATTTTAGATCAAACTGAATAAAGTTATCACAAATCAATCATCAAGAAGAATTTATTATATAACAAGGTAATAAAAGAGAGAGTGCATAAATACCTTGGTAATAAGTCCTTTATCATTCTAATTTTTTTTTTTAAATATCAACGCGATCTTAATTTTTAAAACTTGGTGTCTTTTACTAGTAATTAAAATCCCCTGGTGTTTCAAAAGTAGTATTATGTTCTCTCCAGTTAATGCTTTTATCCATTTTAGTCTAATTATTCAAGAACATTGTCAAAACCAGTACTTCCACAGACTGAGCAATATTATATAATCATCATACATTTGTGGATTTTATCAAGTCATCTTTCCAAAGTTCACTCTTTAAGGCAGTGATTATTCCTTCATAATGTGAACCTAGTATCCCATTCAATGTCCCTCATCTCAATAATAATCTACACAAAATATGGGTGATAGTGACTGGATATGTTCAACATTGTTCGGCATTCAAGGAGCTGGAAATAACATTCAATTTAATTCAAGTCTTCATTTCAGTTTTGGTCACCAACACATATCTAATGAGCTTATGATTGACCATTCCTCTCATCTACTAATGTCCTTGTTCTGTGGATTTCCCAAAATTCCTCTGACCTTATATTAGTGAGAAAATGAGCTTCAATTTGAATGCTATTTATCTCTGTACTCTCTTCTATTGATATCTTTTCTTTAGTCATTCTGCAATTCCTAAAATGAAAAAAGACTCAATTTGAAATAGGTATACTGGTTAGTAAATCAATCACTGGTTTATCTGACTATGATACCAGTCACAAATGATTTGACCATGATAGACAACATTGTTATCTCCCTTTAAATAGCATTTTCAATAACAACTGAAACACTTGCTGATCAACCTTGCATTCAGAACCATCATTGTTGTATTAAATATTTCTCTATTGTCTTAACATATAGAACCATCATTGTTGTATTAAATATTTCTCTATTGTCCTTACATATAGAACCATCATTGTTGTATTAAATATTTCTCTATTGTCTTAACATATAGAACCATCATTGTTGTATTAAATATTTCTCTATTGTCTTAACATATAGAACCATCATTGTTGTATTCAATATTTCTCTATTATCCTTACATATGGAACCATCATTGTTGTATTAAATATTTCTCTATTGTCTTAACATATAGAACCATCATTGAAATAAGATATGAATACATACCAGTGTTTTGAGTCAATGGCAGCCAGTGTTATTAATCGAGCCTCATGATACTGTTTGAGTTGTTGAAAGGAGGTAACTTCATCTTGACTGGGTGAAAATAACATACAACCAACTCTACAAAAGGTTTTGAAATAAATTTTCTATATTTAGTTTAAAGACATGAAGGTAAAGTTTTTATGTTTTCGGCTCAAGATGGGATAAATGTAGATGCAGATGGCATGCTCGGATCAAATCTGGCTATGCTCATCTACCTAAAAGACACCAAAAATCAACAGGAATGTTACCTTTCAATATTATTCAGATTCCATGCATGAATGATACAGTCTCTAGCATAGTATCAGACCAAAGTATATCAGGCTTTATAGAAGTATCATAATATTGGAATACAAACACAGCAATGTATGAGGTCACCTGAGTACCAATATCTTATTATCATAAAACATTTTCCTAAGAAAGAGACTAACCTAAACATAGCTTGTTTGACTGTTGGTCTATCAATGGGATCATTTAATACCAGATCGCGTAGAATACTTCTAACTTCGGCAGTCAGTGTGTCTGGTAGGTTTGGTATCTGCGAATTCTGATAATGAGGTACATTAACGGAGGAAGTAGGGAAAGTATCGGGGGTATTTGGAGGTTGAAGAATACTATAAAACATTCTAGAGACTGCGTAACCATCAGATTTATTATAAATATCTTCCAGTAATACCTGTAAATATAATAGTAATAATGATGGAAGACAGGTATTGTACCATTCAGTTTGATAAATTTACAATTACATACAACTGGACAAAATAGAAATTGCCAATCTTATCAATTTTTGTCCATAAATTCCAACAGAACATATTTTGGCATAAATCAAACCAAATCCTAAGTCTCTGACTTAAAATCAAAATACAGGTCATTATAGATATGACTGATGTACAGAACAGTAAAAAACCCTAGATCAATGAGCTATCTCACTATCTTTGAAGTATGAAGAAAACTCTAATAAATGTAATTTAAATTATAGCCTTAAATAGATTTCTCTGACTTGTCAATATCTTTCAGATATTTCTATGGCATGGGTTTAATTCTTTGTCATACGTCTAATTCAAGTTGATTAGGGAGAAAAAATAAATCAATGACTAAATATTTTTACCATCTCTGGTATTACATTGGATTAAAATTAAAATGGTTTTCAAGGCCAAGGCTCTTTTCAGATATCTTGCATAAGAAAAAAGATAAATAAGCTTGTATTAAAAATTTACTGTTTTGACGTATCAAAGTTTTGTATAAAGCCTACAATTATAACTTTCTTAGTCATCTTGTTTCATTAATAAGAAAACAGGTCAATGACCAATTAAAAATCAAGGCCTATCATTTATAATTATATATCTATAGAGAATAGTAGTGGTATTTAGTGATTGAGGAAGTCTACATTATTGATTGATGTTAATAATTAGACATCCTATCCTTTCAGTCTAGTGTTTGAATTATTTACCATGGGATTACCTATTTTTATTAATTAATTAAGTAAAGTACAGTATTAGTAACTACCGGTATATTACTTTTTACTTTAATAAATAATTAAAACAATATATATCAAACAATAAAGTTTAATAAGGTAATTCCGATATAGAATATATAATAGGCTACAAGGTTGCTCAGTGTAAGAACGTAACATATTTTACAAGCTAAAAATCAAATTTTGTTGCTCTTGTAATTTTAAAGCTTCTTCAGAATCCAGATTAAGAATTTAATGATATACTGTACTTACAGATTGAGGTAAATGTTGTGGATCATATCTGGAATAACGACAAATCTCTGGTGCCCAGGCATGAGAATTCCCAGCAGCCACTTCTGACTTATCTCGAAATCTCACTGCTTTCCCTTCACTGTTGTACAGTTTACGTGCAAAACCAAAATCTCCCAAAACAGGTCTCAAATAGTTATCCAGAAAAACATTGTCAGCTTTTATATCACGATGAACTATTTTTTTGGTTCGTAGGAATACAATGGAGGATAGTAATTGGTATAGTAATTGCAATAGAAACAGTTCTGACAAACCATACAGAGACTGGGCAGGCCTGTCTTTTAAATCTAACATAAAAGTCTTCAATGTAATTGGATATTCTGGCAGTACCAGAAAAGTTGTTCTTGAAGCCATTTCTATTGGAACATCAAAATTGTGAGGGACTATTAACTTTTGGAATTTCTGAAATTTGTCTGTTGAACCTTGATAGTAATGTAAAACTGGAACTATGTTTGGGTGACCAGAAACATACAATGGAATCAGATATTCAGGGCCAAAATTATTCTCTAAATACTGGTCAATGCTGTGTCCCTCATTATGACCAACAAACTGGAGATTGATCAAATTAATCATCATCTAAAAAGATAAAAATAATTTTAATAGAATTAATATAGCAAGTATGAAAACTAACATTGTTAAGGCAATGGCATTTTACCAATTTTATTACGAATTTTAGGAAATCAGAAATATATGATGTGGCTCAGGAATTTGTACAGTCACAAATATAATACAGTGAAATTTCATGGTTCCAATGTTGTTAGTAAATTTCATAAATTATAGAGTAAATGCTAGAAAAGTTGTATATAAATGTTCCAAAGAGATTTATTCCATTTCTCACCTACCTTTACAATATAAAATTTTGATTTATGTTGAATTCTAAAGACAAGAGAGCTTGAACCATCTCTACACCCATCTCCAAAGTGATTTATAGGCTGTTCACCAATAACAGAATAATCACAGTCTTCAATCCATTCACGATTTGGTTCGTCCAAAGATTCAGGTTTATCACAGTTTTGCCACAAAAGCAACACTTTATCACATAAATCATTCCAGTCACAAAGAGCTGTTGATGATCTACACTTAGTGTTTTTTAACCACTCTAAAATATTTCGATGACAAACCTTCAATTCTAAATGTGGGACAGTCTGACATGGCATGGATTTGTTTAGATTTAATTCTGCTTCTGCAACACGTTTCTCTAACTCTATAACGTGTTGATGACTTCGCCTTATAGTCTGCTGTCGCATTTCACGAGCCTCACGTAACTGTTGGTTGGCCTTATTTACATCCTCTCCTAAATTTGAATTAGTTGTTGCTAGAAGCATACATTGTTCTTTTAAATTTCTATTTTCATTTTCTAGAGTCTGAATTTTTTCTTTTCCTTTTGCCCATTCTACTTGTAACACATCTGCAAAACTTTCCACAGCATCATAACTTAGCTTGCTGTTGTCCTCCATTATAGTTGGTGACTGAATTGGATTTTCCTCTGGTTGGCGACTATTTCTTACCATTGCCTTCGGAACCTTTACATTGGAGTGTGAAAATTCACTACTTGGAACTCCAGAGTAAGTCAACAGCTCAGCTGTACTTGAGTTGCTAGAGTAAGTCAAATTTGTAAAATAGTCCAGAGAACCAAATGATGAATTAGAAAAGTGATTCTCTCCTAGTGAGTACTGAGTACTACTACTATCATATTCTTCAGACACTGGGATATTGAATTGTGGGTTCACAGAACTCGCCTTTTTCAGATTTCTACCAGAACTTTCTTTTATTTCATAAGGAGTTAATAAGATGTTATCAACATTACTTCTTGAAGAGCTTGCGTAAGACACAGATGCCCTATGGGTTGGTTCACTGATTACTTTCTTTAATGGTTCTCTCAAATTTGATGATCCTTCTGTAATTGAATCAAAAAGACACAAAATTACATCATTTGATAATAACAAAAGTTTGATGAGAGTTAAATTCACTTAGATCAAGACCATCCCTTTAGTGAGTGTACAGCCAAATCTAAACTGATTTCCATCAATATTAGAAATGTAAATAAACAGGATGTTGTTCAAATTGGCATGAAGTTATATAAATTCAGTAAAAAGTTAAAGAATCATAAGAAGATCATAAAATTTCTTTTATTTCACAAACTCATAAAGTTTAAGATTGATCTCAAATTTTGATCATATACGTACATTACAAGTCTGTAAGAATCAATTGAAAACTAAGCAAGAACTGTAGTTTTTTCAATATATGAGATTGGGATCAATACTGCTTTCAATTTACTCACCAACTAACTGGCTTAGATTACAATTTACAAATAATATGAATGGATGAAAATACAAATTGTGATAAATACTAGCCTTGTTGATAGCGAACCAGAATATCAGCAATATGATTATACTGTTGGGAATGAGCTTCTTGTAATGCTGTTTTATTATTAGAGTTTTTAAGAAATGGGTTGATATTGGCAGAAATTAAGATTCGAACAATATCAACAAATCCACGATAACATGAAAGATGCAAGGCTGTTTCACCACGATCGTTTTGTATGTTTACATCAGCTTTTCTGTAAAAAAAAATTGTGATATTACAGTCAATGTCAAGACTAATTCTTGTTAAGTTTAAAAGATTGATATGTTACACGGATTGAATCTTTATCAATTCTAGGTTAATCCTGTCTAAGAAGATACTACTATTGGGGGAGACAGGCCTGTAGATAGCCCAGGGTCTCAGGGGGGGTGAGGGGCAAATTCTTAAAATGGGGGCTCAACTATAACTCAAAAAGTTATTCAAATTTTCTAAATTTTCTAAATTTTTCAGGGGGGGGAGGGGGTAGGCCTGAACCTACAACAATTTGGTTTTCAAAAACCTCTATATTTCAAAACAACAACACTATCGTTATGTTTCTCAAAAATTCTCACTTTTCTTGTTTTTTCAAATAAAATAAGAAAGGACATTTAAAGTTATATTGATAAACCCCACAAAAATCAGATAAAAGCATTGTTTAAGAACAGAATAATAATTTGAATAGTAAGCTGATTTTTTCTGACAAATTGATTACAATTAAAATCATAGATAAGCCTTGAGAATAAAATAGATAAAAAATAACAAACGTTGCATGATTTATATGATAAATAAATATAACAAATATTATACTTACGCATTTATCAGCACTTTAACACAATCAACATGTCCTCTATCAGCTGCTGTATGTAAAGATGTAAACCCACATCTATATTTCAAATTAACATTACAACCATAGTGGATCAACACTTTACAAATATCCGGATATCCTCGACACGAACTCCAATATAGTGCTGAGAAATTACTCTCGTCTCTTTCATCAACAGAATGTCCACTTGTTAGCAATTTCAAAACATCAGTTAGATATCCATTTTTAGCTTTGGAAACAATATCTGACATCTTCTCATTTTCATTTCGATGCTGTCGTACCTCACTGATACAACTAACTTACAATATACAATTGTCGCAATTTCTATAATGTTTCACAAACATCTGTTCATATCTTAAGCTATTGACGCACAAACAAGGTAATGCCACTCTTTTAAAATCAATTGTTCAATTACTCAAATTTTTATATTCAAAAGAAAATGGCAACAAATCAATAATAATGGTATATAAAGTTACTTACAGTGAAATAACACACTTATAAAAATAGGACTGACTAATTTTCACACAATTTAAGAATTTCCTCAATGCACAATTTATAAAATTTTCTTCTGTACTGTTACACATTTGTCCGAATCATTTTTCTAGTAGTCTTCCATATGGCCACAAGAACAAAAGAATCACGATAATTCTTATAAGAGGCAGGTTTACCAAGAAGATCTAAAACATTAATTAAATTATCTACTTTCCATCATTCAATGACAGCTTTGAGTTTTTGTCATAGCATTTCCGTGTTGAGTGTGGAACGTGTTTAAAAGACCAATCAATAACGTAAAGTAGTCTGGAGAACCTTACTTCCTGGTCACTGCTTCTCACACTTATAACCTGAAATAACAATACAATCATTTTATAAGCTTTCATTTCTTTATCCAATGAGACATGAGAATATTTTTATCTTAATATCTTCTTTAATGATTTCAAAACTCAAATTACAAAATGAAGTACATAAATAGTTAATCTGCACTGTTTTTATCTATAATAAATCTATAATCTTCTGATTAAATAACATTTGCCAAGAAATTCAAAATCATTGCAAGAAATTAATCTTTAACAATGGAAATTCAGTGAAATTTTCTCATTGACTACTATAATAACTGTTTCCAATGAGGGAAAAAGCAGGCTTTAAACTAATTTCTTGTGTTTCCACAGACAAAGTGCCAGGCCAATATGGTTTGGGAATCAAAGACCTCTCTTTTTACATTCGGAAATTTATTTGGGCTGAATGAAAGCTAGCTTTCAATTTAGTCTGTGGTAACGCAAAAAGCCAGCTCTATCTCATTTTGGCTGGTCAAATTTACAACCTTATATGATCTTAAATCAATCTTTAAGGAGCATTCTATTCCTATTCTAACAGTGGAGCAAAAATTTTATGAAACACAAGCACCTATAAATAAGTACTGTGAGAGGTGGCATGCTCACTATTCTGAAGCATCTCAAGTCTCTCTATATGTTTCAGAGAGTCCACATGGTTTATTTGGTTAAAACTTGACATGGTGTCTGCTGCTCTGCATACTTAACATCTGTACGAGTCATTCCTTGATGCAGAAATAAGTTTATTTAGTCCATTTTCGTGTTTTATCTCAAATATTTTATGACCATTTTTCAATTTATTTTTAGACAGGACCATCACTTTTAGGCTTTAATTATATTACAACCTTGTGTAAATAGACAGGACAATGATACCACATGTCAGTTGCACTATGAATAATGACACAGTAAAGTTATTCAGTTTACTTCCTTGTTCTAGTTAAATGTCCTAGTGAATACCAATAAAGTTGGATACCCTCTTATTTAATCTGACTCATATGCATAAGATAACTTCACATTGACAATAGTTGTGTAGTTATCTTTAATGGTGATAAAGTATCACATAAACGTCCATACAGAAAGGAAAGACATTGGATATCATTAGCTACTTAAAGTAGTAGTGTTTCTATGAAAATTTTACATTAAGTTGATACCGATATTGTTTGGTCCATAATATATACACAAATTGATCTTTTTAATATTTACACAAAAAACTTACAGTAGCCTAATTTAATAGAAATTATACACAAAATTTAACACAAAATGAAAGGAATAACACATATTTTTCTACTCCACCCTGAACTCATGAATCAAATTTCATTATTGATTTTTTTTTTTTTAATATAAAAAAAAAAATTACAATAAATTATTTGTTATTCACATTCCATTCACTATGAGTGCCTTTATTAAAGCTATTATCATTTGGTAGTTAAGCCTTCCTTATCGAGGAATTTCATTTGATTGGTTGAAATCTAATCCAATCTTATCGTTTATTTTTCACTTCCTTTAGAAAGCATGACATATTAATGACATTCAATTTGTTTGTTTCAAATATCTGTAGCTCTTTAAGGCAATGTAGTTTTTTTTAAGGCAATAAGAGTTCTTTTTGCAGCTTTTCTAAAAACTAAATCTTATTTCCTTTGAGTGTCAGGAATCGTGAAATTGTATTCCTGTGAATATTCTTGTTTTTGGAAATTATATTCAACAGTTTCATACAATACAATGAAGGTATGCTATTTCTAGGATTTTAAGACAGAGCTCTCTCAAGAAAACAACAATTCATTGTCTCATCAAAGATCATTACTAAATATTATGATTGAAAATTCATTTGTTTTTTAATAATTTTAATTAGGCAGGATTTTAAATCTCAGTTTCAACTGTACAACAGAAATCATATATTTAAAAACTGATCATACAGATGAACTGATAACAGTGATACACCTTGCTGAAACTTAAAGATCAGTCAGACTGTGGTGTACATAAACATAGATAAATATATGAATGACTTTATCTGTTTACAATATTAATTCATATTATTTCTTTTTTTTTAAACAATATTTTGTTCATAAAAAGTATGAACGGGATTAGGGAACAGGCATTCGCCTATATAAACCTTCTCCATAAATACAATAAATTTCACAAGAATTTTAAAGTTTACAAAATAACAAAACATATATACATAAAATACATAAAGTATAGTAAACAAGTAAAAATAAATAACAAATTTATAGATATACAAAATATTGATTAAGTTGTAAATATAATTATAAAAGTAAGAGTAAAATAAAAAATAAAAGCTACACACGAGATATCCAAAAAGACAATTAAAATCGTTTACTGGAGTTAATGAAATTATGTACAAGTTGAAATATAGTTTGAGAAGTAGTGGTGCAATCTGTTCCATATAGTAAGTTATGTATAGTGATAAGATCTTGTTGAATTAATGAGATTGAGTGATTTCGTGCATCTAAATGTAAGGGACACTGTATGAGGTAGTGGAATGCATCTTCAAAAGGATGACCGCATCGGCAAGTTGGATTATCAGAGGTGTGTTTTCATATTATTTATGTATATAATATTCCTATTAAATACAAAATTCTTTGAAAACAGCAGGGATGTTGCAGTTCATGGTAGAGTATTTCACTGTAGTAGCCAATGTCAGTTATTAATCATTACTACAGAGTTTCTCTTTCTGCTTTTAACCATGACTTATAACTAAGAAACTACAATGATTTCTAACAGGAAAATTAGAGATGATATCTTCAGGATGAAAAGAATATAAGACATTCATCTTGAGGCACTACATGGTCAATTACATCTTTCCTTTTTCATTAAATACATTTATTTTGTGTACTTCTACTTACCTACTACAATCCAAAAACCATTGGTCAAGTGAGAAAAGTCTAAAGAACTAGAAGAATAATTCAAAAAAAGGAATCAAATCTTTTTTTTTTTGAAAGTTTGATATTAGATATTGTTAATATTACGCTTACCTTCTCAGTAACGTGTTTTCCATCTAAACTTTTCTATGAAAGATATCTTTAGTAATGAAAATGAAAGTAGGCAATCCTTTAAAACTATTATTACACCAGTCATATTTACCAATATAAAAACACTTTATATTCATTTACATCATCCAAATAATATTTCCTACTTTCAATTGGAACAAAAATAAATAATACACACATATTCTAGAAATTCTTTCTGAATAACATCTTCAAGGGTGGGCAGTTTATATCTCAAAAATACATAAATGATATTCATATGACATTATTTGAACATGGGGAAAGCAGATTATACCTTCACTCAGAAATACACACCACCAGTGTATTCAAATAATTATATTCATGTCAGTTCTGTTGTAAAATACTCCACAAACTGTTAGAAAAATACATGATGAACTTTGTCATGATGATTGCATTTGATAAAATAAAATCAACAGTTTTGGTTCGGGCCATTAGTATCACAATACAAACATTATATTATCTATTAGTTGTGTATCTTAATACTGTTCTAAAACCAAGACCTCAATTTATATTGATATCATTGATAGAATAAATAACACTTCAATCAATTTTATATATAATTATGAAGAAGCAATTTCAATATAATTATATACTTCATAACTCATTTACATTACATTCAAAACATGTTCAGATTCACAATAAATTTATCTTTATGATTTTTAATAGCTTCATTATATTACTTATCACATCAATACAGTCAGAAAAATTGACATGGATATTTTTTATAAATTATTTAAAAATAAAAAAGTCCTACATAATCATATAAAGAAAACGAAATTGCTTTGCAATTATGTGTAATTATTTAAAAAATCACAAAACTTTGAAAAATGTAACTGGTTTTGTTACAATCAAGTCTAGTTCAAGCTAACCTAGTTACTTCACTTCCTCTTTCATATAGGTTATCTAAGAATAGATATAGGTCAGTGAGTGAACAGATTCTATTGCCCTGCCTGGTATAGGACAAATAAACAGGACAAAACACTTTCTCCTTGACCTGAAACTTTATTTCTTATTAGGCATTTAGAGAGAATGGCTGACATTGGATTTTCCTTGATGCACATGTGAATCTTATGAGAGATCTAAAACAAATTACTATGAAATGAGTGGATGGGTTATTCCCTGTTTAAATCAAAAACTTGAGGTCTGCATACATACAGAGTTTATCCAAATGTGGCAAAATTCAATTTGTGACAATAATCATAAAATTCATCCATTTTTTGACAATTTTTACATCAGTCATATTGATCTACTATATTGAAAACTTTTGAAGTTACAGCCAGTCAAACGCATTTGGAGTGTTTAACGGCACGCCAT